TGATGAATCTATTTCTGCCAGGGTGCCTTCAACTCCTGAGATTCTCTCTTCCATCTCTTGTATTCTGTTGGTTATGCTTACCTCTGTAGTTCCTGATCGTTTACCCAGCTTTTCTATTTCCAGAATTCCCTCAGATTGTGCTTTCTTTATTGTCTCTATTTCAGTTTTTAGGTCTTAAACTGTTTCCTTGAGAGATTTGTTGGTATCTCGTATTTTTTGGTTAGTTTTTTCTTCCATTTTTAAGGGATTTTCTCATGTCCTCTTTGAGGTCCTCTATCATTTTCATGAAGATGCTTTTAATGACATTCTCTTCTGGTTAATCTGCATCGTGATGTTCAGGTCTTGCTGGTGTATGGTTCCTAGTCTCCGGTGGTGTCATATTGGGTTTTCTGTTGTTGGATGTGCTTTTACCTTGTCCTCTTCTCATCCTTTCTTCTGGTGGGTGTAGCAAGAGTTTCTTGTTATCCTGGTGGGTATGGACCAAGGTTCTCTTCTGGTAGATGCAAACAGATCCAATATTCTGATGTCGGTCCTCTTCTCGTGGATTGAGGTGTCACTGTTACCTGGGTGTCAGCAGTGTTCAGGCTTGCTGGTCCCGCCGGGCCGGCAGTTGGAGGCAGAGTGATCTATTGTCACTTTTTAACCTCTCATCCAAATAATGTGTTTCACTTCTTTGTCAAATATTATCCATTTTTTACTTTACATTCTTTCCTAGATGTACCTTGAAGACCGAGTACATCGGACTCCAAGTGCTAAAGTTTCCTTTGGGCCTAGATCACTGACTTCACTCATGATAACTGTGCAATCAGGGCTCTGCGTGGAAAACAACAGAATTGGAGTTAGCTTATTTGGAAAAAAAAGAGACCCATTAAAAATTATACATTCAGAGGATAGAAAAGAACAAAATCAACTCAATTCCCAGACATGAGGACCAGATCCAAAAACAGGAATGTGTGGACACCCTCTCAGTGCTCAGCCATCAGATGGCTTAGGTCCAAATACTTTGACCTCTAAGACCCCACCAGTACAATTGCAAATTCCCGGGAGACACAATAGGTTGGTTGAGGTGGGTGGATTCTTGGACTATCTAGCCAAGGGATGAAAAGAGCAATAGATGATAGAGGTACACCCTGAAGGGAGTCACAAACCAAGCAGTATGTGAATGTGCAATTATTCAGCACTAACATCCTTGGGTTTCGCCATCTGTGTCCTCCTTCTCAACTAGACACATCTCCTCCTACCCTGCCATAGATCTGGAAAGCCCAGGACAAGAGCAAGTAAACACAACCCACTTCCCAAGATGATGGAATACACAGATACTCACTGTCTGCATCTCAAGATCAGATCACAGTTCAGGGCTTCCAACTTATTACTGAGTCAATTTCCGTGTGTGTGTGTGTGTGTGTGTGTGTGTGTGTGTGTGTGTGTAGGGGGCAGAATAGTACAGTATAGGCTATGATCTGCAGTTGCTGACTTGAAGACTATACTGTCAACATTGCAGTTGGTGCTTCTATCTAGCTATGGAGACTGGCTTTGGAATATGTTGTATAGCTTGCGTCAATAGCAGCAACCATTGGGGACCAAACAAGACACATCTCCCTAGTCTACTACAACAGAGGAGGTGGTATCTAGGGATATTTGAGGTACAATGTCATGACAGTGACACCAGGCAACCTTCTGTGTAGTGAATAAGGAGCCAGTGGTGCCCTTATACCATCCTGCAGAACTACCTGGTGGAGTGACTATCATGGACCCCCTTTCTCTCCTCCCCACTACTATTTGGGAACCACTGAAATTGAAGCTGGATCCTCTCTCTCCTTAAAGCTCACTGGCACCATCCTGAGGACTCTGCAGAGAGGCAAGCCACAGGCTCTGTGTCAATCACTAGATCCTGTCTTAAGGGAATCACAGGGCTGCTGTGTTTCCTCTGCAGATAAACCTGCTAATCCTGACCTTTGCACTTGCGTCAACCTGAAGGTGAGTTTTCTGCACTTTGTCATCAAAATATGATAATTGTGAGTGACACCCCATCCCCTAATTCTGTTCCTCTATGATCTTCCTTGAAGTTATTAGCTCTTGTTATTTGGGCACTGGTGTCTCATCTGAGCAAAGACAAATGGGATTCTTCTTGAATTCAGACGGTCGACTAGACTCAACACCTGGGGCCAGTGTCTGCCTCTTCTGCTTCCATGTGGTCACCCAGAGCTGTGACCCTGGAATGTACCTCTCTCTATTTCCTGTGTTTTGCATCCCTGGGATGTTTGTCTCTTGAGTGAGTTCTGAAGCCCCATTTCATATAGGTTGTTGGAAAACCCCTGTTCCTACTTTGTGATGTCCCTAAATAAAGGGAGACCTGTAGAGAGATGGACCCATGTTTCAGGGCACCTTCTACAGTACCCAGCATGTTTGAGTTGAGCACACTCTCCATTGTGTGGACTGGACTGATGTAATAAACAGGATACCCAGATGCCTTGATTGCTGACCCCTCTGAGGTCCCCTAGGTGGTGCTAGTGTTCATCCTCTGCTTGCCAAAGCCATTGCAAGTTTGTTCTCCTTGGCATTAAGGTCATACTCCCAATAGTTGCAATAGCCTCTAGACCAAAGGTCTTTTCGGCATCCCCACCTCTAAACTGGCAACTGCCCTGAATGACATTTCTTGTCATGGCGCTGGTCAACTGAACTATACTTCAGCATATCTTCAGGATGCCCAGGTGGGATGGGCTCTGCTTAAGTACCTGGAGGATGAGAACCTTAATCTCTCTTTCAGGTGAATCTGCAGCCAGGTCCTGATTAAACTCCAGTCAAATGTGCAAGTGTGTTGGCAACAGAAGTGCAGAGATCCAATACCACCTGCTGTCCTCTCAAGAGTAGGAATGGCCACCAAGCCCTAAGGACATATGTGTGGAATGGAACCTTCCCTGATACAAGGATCATTTGGCCACTGAAGTCCAGCCATGTTATATCTCCTACTGCCTAGATCAAACCTGAGGTATTCCACAGCCATTGCTACCTGAGATTGTAGACACAAAACTTTTCTGTCAGCAGTGGGCTTTGCTTCCTCTATTTGAGGGTTATGGGAGCCAATCTGGCAGCCAGGGAGTCTGCCATGGCAGATGCTGGGGTTGCACAGAGGAATCAATATGTGAGGGGTCTGAGTGCAGAGCAGAAACAGGAGGCAGAAGAATCCACACAGGCAGGTGTCAAGTCACTGTGCCTGCCACCCTCAGCAGGTCTGTCCTCATCAACCAACTTGGATGATGAGTTCAGCAGGACAAGGATGTTCTGCTGAAGTGAGAGAGGGGAGGGGTTGGAGGTGTGCTAGGGCACTGGGGAAGCTTCCAGAACAGGAAAGGGCAGGGGCTGATCTGTGGAGAGCTCCCCAGTTTGTGGTGGTGGTGGGTCTTACCACCATGGGGAGCCCCACAAGAGATGGATTGGCCAGAGCAGAATAGTAATATTGAGATGATGTCAGCTAGGTGGGTGGGATTGTGGCTGACATCCAAGTCTCCATTCCTGGGTGTTGATTGGATCATGGCTGTTCAAGTGAGACTTTCAGTTTCCATTTCCCTGCTCGGTCCATCACCCTAGAGGCTGCTTCTCCTTATGACTCAGATGTGCAGCTGGTGGCTGGATCTACACAGCTAAGGCCATCTGGGTCCTGCTTGAGCACATCCAGGGCGAGAATCCTTGGTAAATAGAACCTCTTCGGCTCCTCACCCTCCTCATACTCACAATTTTACCTTGGGAAAGAGGGATAATTGCCTCATTCCTGGGATGAACTCAGTGAACTTAGGTATCATTGCCAGTCCCCAGTTAAGAACTTTCAGCCTGATTGGTATCTGGTTCTTTCTCTCTGCACTGCACTCAAGGAAGGATGGACAAGCCCTCAGATTGGATCATCATGCCATCTGGGGCTCAGCTCAGGAGCTAGGATGCCTAGGATCTGGCCAACAGACTCCTGATAGAAAGTAGATTTATGGGTGTCCAGCCGCTGGGGAAATGGTGATACTGAAGGATGTGGAGGAGGGCAGGAGGCAGAACTCACTGGTCCTTGTGAGCATCCTGAAGCTGGACCAGGACCGTGGCTGCCTAGACCAGGTGGGGACAAATGTTGACTTGGAGATATAAGAAGCCCAGAGATTGTGCCACAGACTGTCTCTGAGTATGTAACCGACCATGCCCTGGGGGAAACTGAGGACCTAGGGGGTGTTTTGCTGAGGAGTCTGTGAAACAGGCTAAGCAAGTGAGCAAACACATGCCCACCTCCTCCAGGCCTCCCCTGGGCTCTGTTCAATCTGTAGGGAATGGAGAAGAGAGAAATGGTTCCCTGAGTATTAGGTTGGAAAGGGTGTCAGTGTGGGGAAAGGGATGGAAAATGTGAACAAACACATAAACAGCACACTGAGCAGTTTGCTAATCTCAAGGTCAAAGGTCAGACTTCAGGTGTGTGTGTTGAGGGAGGGGTTTTAGTCCTCTATGCCTGTAGAAGCAGAGAACCTTTTCAAAATGTTGGGACGATAAGAAGAGGGCCCGAGGAGGAGAGGAAAATTAAAAAGCAATCACTCATTTTTTCTTTAATGATGCTATGTCCTCAGAGAATGGGGACTCTGTGTCCCATAAATGTCCCCCAGAACCCAGATCAGGGGCATCGTGGGGCGAGGAGAACAAATATCAACTTGGATGGTTCTTGAACCAGCTTTGGGCTACTGCTGGGATCATGACTGTCACTGGTGATAGACCAAGACTAATGGAGAGAAGGGCCCAGGGAAACACTGTATTCAATCCAGGGAGGGATGAAGAAGCCAGCCAGAAAGAGGTGGCCTGTGAGATTTCAAGGCATGGAGGATGGAGACATTTTATGAGGCGGGAAAAGTCCAGTGTAGGCCTGAAAAACTGGAGATGGTTCAGGGGATTAGGAGGGGGGACTCCAGCAGGCTGGGGCCTCTGTGATCGATTCAAGCTCTTGAACCTGACCCTGGAAGAGAATTGCGGATTCTCAGGTAGGAGCCTGTTGTCCTCACCCCTGTATGCTCCAATGAAGAAGTCAGGCAGACACTGGGAGCCTGTGCTGAGGCACCCTGCATGGCCATATTTGGAGAGGCTCTCAGCCTGGAACTTAAGTTTGCCAGGAGCAGAAATGGACAGGGTCATCTTCACACCTCTGGGACAAACCCTGGGGGGCCACTCATCCAAGAGGCTGCGGTCCTGCAGTCCAGAAGGAGGGCTTGATGCAGGTAGAGCAAGACAGATTTTTATACAAATTTATATGTCAATTTACTTTTGTGGTAGTGTGTGGATATTAGTACCAGGGTCTGGGGCATGCTTGGCACCAACTCTACCACTGAGTCATCTCTCTGGCCCAGACTCATAGGGACCTGTAAGATGCATACACCTAGTAATGTATAGTGTCTCCCGAATTTCCAGCTTTTCAGCTCACAGCCTCTTAGGTCCTGTACCTATCAAGCAGAAAGGTTGTGAGGGGGACAGCAACTCTCCCACACACCCTTGCCTTTAGCAAGTGCCACAAAAAGGCCCTGAGCAGCCGCCTTCTTGTGTCTTGTTGGTCAGGACCCAGTCAATCAGTCACTGTGTATTGGCCTCTAGTCTGAGAAAAACAAATTCTGGGTGGAGGGCAATGGGGACAGGAGGTGGTGGTGGCTTTTGCACAGGGTAGCCATACAGAGATGCCATCTTCCTAGGAACACCCTGGGTTACTAAGACTCAACCTTTGGGCATCCAGGCAGGGACACCTCACAGCTTCCTTCCAAGAAACAGAAGTGGCTTGTTTCTGTTGCAGTTGATAACCTCCAGCACAAAGCCCTAGGGAAACAGCTGCTATCGAGTGAATCTGGGTTGGCTGTTCTCAGTGTCGGAGAAGGCTCACCATGGACATTCAAGTCTAGAGGGAGAGGGGAGCAAGAACCCTCAATAGGATCAGGGCTGTGGGTGGGTGGGACTAGGGGGAATGTATGGATTTGTGCTGCACTAAGTGAGAGCCGCTTGTGTCCATGGAACCCTCCCTATCCTGTCTTTAGAGAAAGAGACCCAAGGAAGGACCCACCAAGGTGTGCTTGGCAAGGAAGGCACTTCATTCTTTCCCTCCTTGCAGGGTGTCTGGATGTTATCTTGAGACTGTAACTGTAAAGGATGCAATATGCAGAGATATTTACTGAGCTCCCTGGAAGAGGCTGGGAGGCCTCAAGAGCATGGCCCAGGTCCCAGGTTTATTTTGTAACAGGATATTCTTGTTGCACCAAAACAAGATGTCAACACAGACTGGGACAAGCAAGCTCGCAGATTCCATGCTCTCTTCCTTCCCTCAGCGTCCTAAGCCCCAGCCTGTGGGCTCAGGCCCCTGAAACAGAGTCCCTCCCTCGATTTTAGCTGCTATTGCTTAACACAGTTTCTACCCCCTCGTAGGTACTGAAATGTTCTTCGAATCTCTCCTCATCGTGTGTTGATTTTCATCTTTTTCCCAAGTGTGCCCTCAGTGCCTCATACTTCCCTGGACCCCACAGGACAGGAGGCCTCTGCCCCCGCCTGGAGTGAGGGACAAGGGATGGAACCAGATGACTGTCTTTGTTAAGTAGCAGCTCTGTGGTTCAGGCAAAGACTGAGCTCTGTGAATTAAGTCCCTTTGATTCTTGGCAGCCACCCTGGAGGGACCTGAGGGACAACCAGATACCTGCCCACCTGCCTTCCCTACAGTTATCCCTAATTCATCCCACATGGTGTGTCTTCTTCCTATAGCCTGAGCATCCAGTGAGCTGTAAGGAAAATCTCTCACAGATCCCGTGACAGGTGCCAAGGATCCAGAAGTTCTCATGGCCTCTCGAGGTATGCATGATGCTCGACCTTGCCTGTTTTCTGCTCTTAGTGTAGACCCGATGGCCTCATACCTGATAAGGATGAGGCCACCAAGGACCAAGATAAGAGCCATGACCCTGGGTCTGATGAATCCACGTCCTAGCCCTATCCTGGTGACATATGAGGGGTTATATTCCCTTTACCTTGTGCTCTCTGGTGTGACCAGGAGAGCCTGCTGATGTGGAGGACAGTGTGGCTCAGTCACACCTCCGGAAGTCAGCATGACTCACTAACTGTTCTGTGTAATTTCTGAGAGTCCAGAGATTGAGGAAGAAAGACTACTTCTGTAATCTTGTCCAAAGCCAATCATTTTGGGATCTGATTTCTACATAGATGCATTTGATATATATATATCAAATATATATATGTATGTATATGATAACTCCAAAAATACTAACCTTACTGTGTTCAACACACTCTGATATCAATTCTATTCCATTTTCCAATGTTCCTCTTTGACCCAATAAACTAGTGTCAGAACCAGAGAATGTCACCTTTGAAGGTGCTGGTGCCACAGTGTTTGAAGTGCCAGATGTTCAAACTGGATGTAAACCAGCATTGAAATTCTCCCTCCTCTTCCCAGTGCCCAGTCTTCATTTTCCATTTCCTCTGAAATGAAAACATTCATTTTCCTGTATGCAAGTGGCCGTGTGTATGTGTGTGTGTGTGTGTGGTGTGTGTGTGTGTGTGTGTGTGTGTCTGTGTCTCTGTGTGTGTGTGTGTGTCTGTGTGTGTGTATCTGTGTGTGTGTGTGTGTGTGTGTGATCCCACAATAAGTCCCCCAATAGCACAGGCTGAGGGAGAACAAAAGGCTATCTTTTCTCTCAGCTCTGGGAGGCAATGTAAACAATGAAGGTGGGGCAGGTTTGCCAGTGTGAAGTTGTCTTCCTGGTTTGCAGTGGGAGCAGGCTCCCTGGATCTTTACAAAGCCTCTGCCACAGAATTTGTATGAGAGAGAGGGATGGGAGAGGGAAAGGGAAAAAAGAGAGAGGGAAGGAGGAACTGAGGAGGAGGGATGGAGGGACAGAGGGGCACAGGGAGGGAGGGAAGGATGTCACCAGGACTGTGCATTAGGGATCTGTGTTTCTATTGTTTCACTGCAATGACCTCACTTCCATGGAGACTTTATCTATAAATATAGACATTGGGCCTCATGACTATTACATGGAAACCAGAGGACACAATTCAGTCCACAACACTGGTGAATCGATCAGCAGAACATTCATGACATGTCAGTAAGAACCTTATGCTCCAGGCCACCACCTCAGACCCTCTACCCTGTCTCTGACTTCTTTTTTCCATCATAGAGAGCAGACAATTCATCAAGGAAGCCCCTGGGCATCTCCAGGACACGGCAGGCAGAGATGACCTGCATCGCCTAGTGACTGAAGATGGAGCCTGGGAGGCATTCGTATCTAAGGCCAAATTGCCCAGGTCACCACTATGGGATGCCCCAGATCTGCCCCCAAACCTCTGCATGATTGGTTCTCTCTGGGCAGGCACATCCACTCCAGACAGTCCCAGGAGATGGGGTCGAGGGCACTCCTCAACAATCCTTTGGAACTATTTGAACATGCTGCGTTAGCTTGGGGGGGGGGACGTGGTGCCCACAGGGGAGAGGATTGTTTCTTTTTTGAAATTAGGGGATTATAGTATGTTAGATTTTTATGATACAAGTGCATGGTCACTTGTGTCAAGGTCAGAGGACACTATTCATTGCTACTCATTTGGATGAACTTGTGCAGGGCAAAGACACACATGGATTGGCAGCAGATGCTGAGCCCAGACTTACGACTGGGAGACAGCTGCTGCTCACTGCCCACATTTGGTACCAAACTCCTGGTCACAGTCTATACCCCGAGAAGTCAGGTTCAGCCACTCATCCTCAATAATCCAACCAGAATAGCCAAATGAGTGATAAAGTGGGAAAAGGCCTCATGGGGAAGGGGAGACCGTGATACAATGTCTCGGGCAGTCTATCTTTGAGGTCTGAGTGAGATTACAGTTTGAATAGAATGCAGAGATGTGCACGTGGAAGCAGTCATGGTCAAAGTGTGGTCCCACCGTTAGACTCTTTCAGATTCAAGATGCTCAAGTAGTACGGCAACTTGGCTGAAGGGCTCAGGTGAACACACCTTTCTGGCAGGCCAGAGCTGGAGAGGACATTGCCCCACCTGAGAACAATGAGAAATCTTGTCTTGGGGGGAAAGGAACTCTCCATAGTACACCAACACTCCCTGAATGAAAGGGGCTTTGATGTCATTCTGTGTTCTTGTGTGCATCTGCAGACTGCCCTCAGCACATCTGTCTGGAGGGGATGGCATTTGCCTGAGTAGTTAAGCATCTTTCTGCAATGTCTACTGGCACACCTAGCAGTGTTTGACTGTTATAAAGCATGTGCATACATGTGTGTGCCCACGTGCACCTATGTATACAAGGAGGTCAGAGGACCACCTCAGTTGCACCTTGTGTACTGTCCTCGTTGTTTGAGACAGGGTCTCTCACTGGACTCACATCTGCCAAGCAGACTGGACTAGCTGGTCAGTGAGGTCCAAAGATCAACCTGTCTCTGCTTCCCCAGCACTGAGATTACAAAACCACGTGCCTGGCTGGGCCTGGTTCTTTTTACTTGGGTTTGAGGTATGGGACTCAGGTTTGAATGTTTACATGGCAAGCACCTTCCCCACAGAGTGTCCCCAGCCCTTGTGATAACTCACTCCCGACTAAGGACCACAAGTTTGTCTTTAAAATACCTAACATCACCCACCGAAGGAGAACTTGCACACGTCTTTAGAGTTCCTGTTGGATGGTGACAGTATAAATAACGCTTGAGGGTATGACACAGCCTACTTTCCAGACAGCAGCCATCTTTCTCATGTACTTGACCTCTGCTGTTACAGGGATGAGGCACTTGCACTGCACAAAGTGCTGAGGGACCTGACTGCGCTCTCGGCCCAAGCAGACAGAGACAGACTTCAAAAAGACCTGCAGTGCAGGAAGAAGCTTTGGAAAGCATTTCCTCACTTGAGAGCAGAGGCACAGAAGCGCATCGTGCAGCTCCGTGTCCTGGCTGACCACGCTGAGGAGGTGCACAGGGGCTGCGTCATCTCCAATTTAGTGGCTGACTCCTTCAGTACTGCCTCTGACATCCTGGGCCTCCTTGGTCTGTTTCTGTCTCCGGTGACGGCAGAGGGCAGTCTGATGCTCTCAGCAACTGGGTTGGGCCTGGGGGTAGCAGCTACTGTGACTAGTGTTGCTACTTCCATTGTGGAGGAAACAAGGCTTTTGGATGAAGTGGAAGCCGGTCACCAAGCTTCAACTGTCATGGAAGTATTGGAGGCTGGAACAACCATGGCTAGGATTACCAGCAAGTTACCTCAGGCTGCCAAAGATATCACCGAAGACCTCGAAGCCCTTGAGCAGCACATGGATGCCCTCAGGCTGGTTAGAGCCTGCAAGTTACCTCAGGCTGCCAAAGATATCACCGAAAACCTCGAAGCCCTTGAGCAGCACATGGATGCCCTCAGGCTGGTTAGAGCCAACCCTCACTTAGAGGAAGATGCCAGGATCCTCGCCACCACCGGAAGGATCTCATCCCAACGTGCTAGACGTGTGCAGACTGCTTTGAAAGGAACCCCTCTGGTGATGAGCAATGAAGCCCGGATCAGGAGTGCCACCACTGCCGGTGTGTCTCTCTTGAAAGATGTTGACAGCCTTGTGAAAAAGTCAAAGCATTTGTACGAAGGGACACCGTCAGAGGCAGCTGAAGTACTCAGGAAGCTGGCTCAGGAGCTGGAGGAGAAGTTGAAGAAGCTCACCAAATTCTATGAGACACTCTGTTCAGGCTCCAACTAGTCAACCCAACCCCCAAGACATGCTGAGGTCAGGGGAAAGGAACTGGACAGGGATGGGGACAGTGAGAGGGGGGAACAAGTGATCGGTCAAGTCCATGGGACAGAGATCCAGGCCTATGGCTGATCACGGCAGGTTAGTGTGCATAGCAGTGGGCAAATGAGTCCAACTGGAGCCTGAGACAGGGAATGGAGGATGTGCCAAAGATGAATTGGAGAGAAGGGCTCCTGGACTAACTGTGGAAGAAGCCCGTTATCAGAAAGACTGGACAGCTCTCCCCATCTCAGCTATAGGAAACAAAGCATGGCAGAAAAGAACCCACAAAACAGAAACGCAAGAGAAGGTGTGTGCTATGTAAATAAGCCGAGACCCCCAGCCCTGTGCTTCAGAGCCTGTGCCTTGCAGAGTCCCCAGTCCACTCCCATCCTCAGGCAGGTCCTCATCCCCTAAATAAACTGCTTTTACTGACTTCCTCACTGTGTGTTTGCTTCAGTTCTTTCTCCTGGGACATAAGAACCTGAAAGATTTAGCAGGTATCCCAACTCCCAATGTTTCCTCTAAGGGCTGGTGCAGCCAGCCAGGGGCCAAGAATGAAGGTTCCAGGACTCTGCATTATCAAGGGCACCAGGTACAGTGCTGTTCCTCCTTCCAGAAGCTCTGGAACACCGAGGGACACCTCCCTCAGGAGGCTCCATGTGTGGGGGCTGACTCCATCCACACCTCTCCATTACCATTGTCAACACAAAAATAAGACACGCAAAGGGGTAAGACACAGTTCGTTCTAGAGCCAAATAGGAGGACCATGACCCCAGGAACACAGAGATAGGTTACACCAAAGTCCAACATGGAAACCATTTCATGAAACTTTTATAGTAACAGAAAAGAAACTCATAAGTGAACACATTTCCAAGACATTTGTGGAAACATCAGAGGCGGTTAAGAGCCTCGGATTCTGTTTGTTGATATTCTCAGCTTGTGGGTTGGTGGAAGCGAGTGGTCTGCTAAGTTAATACATCCCTAGTGGTTTTTATCTCTTAGTCACGAGGTGTTAAATCCAACAAGGGATATTCAGGGGACTAAAGACAGACAGAAAGCGTCTTTAGGCTCTTGATCTTCAACATTACAACCTCCCCACAGCTAATGAAGTTTTCATTAGCTAATTAGGATTTAGAAGGCTCAGTTATGATTGTTTCTGGAAACCTTCATTGGTACCAACCACATTTGTTACTGACCGTGGAGTCAGGGTCTGTACCAAGGTGAGAAGAGGGGAATGGACTATACACGGAGGAGGGACAGGGCCCAGCAGAGCTGGAGAGTGGGAGGTCCCACAATAAATGGTGGCTGAGACCACAAAGATTCACCAAACACTGTGAGATGAGAATGGTCTATGGTTGGTCTGTGGAGTGGGTTTGTAGAAAAGGTAAAACTGAGGGTGGCACCTACTGGGTGCCTTGTCTGGGGCATCCACTGGCTCATTAGTTGCTCAGAATGTGTGACACCACTTGCCCTTTCAGGCTGGGAACATTGCCCCACCAACACCACCTCATGCCGGCCTCAGGCTATGACTCAGATGCACAGCTGGGGACTGAACACACTGCTAAGGAAAGCTGTGTCATATCTAACTCAACCAGGAGAAGATTCTTCCATAAGTAGGGAGAAATCTGCCCATGCCCACAGCCACTCTCAAAAACAACTATTGCCCCATTCTGTAAATGTGATTTAGGCACTGGCCCTGGTGGCTGAACTTGCATCCAGGTTAGAATCTGGCTGCTTTTCCTCTCCCTCAGAAGTCAGCACAAGGGACTTTGGACACCCCTCAGATGGGATCACCAAGAGGTTTGTCTTAGTTCCAGACTTCCTTATATATGACAAGGGTTCCTCAGAGGGAATGTGGCTTTTCTGGATGGCCCTTTGGGATAGGAGGAATTGAAGGATGTGGGTGGAGAGAGAAGAGGGCCCAGAATCCACCCATCCTTGTGTCATAAACTAGAGTTGGCCCTGCGGTATTGCCACATGAAGAGATGGTACAAAGTTGTACTTAAGAGAAGCAAGGAACACAGAAATTGTACCATGACTCTCCCAGCACATATGTCTGTGCCACATTCCATGGTGGAAACTGAGGCCCAGAAGAGAGCATCTTGTTCTAGATACTAGAAGGAGCTACATAAGTGGATGTCCAGTCTGCTTCCCCTGGTCTTGGCCAGCCTCTCTTCAGTGTTGACTGCAGAAGAAAGGCAAGGGTGTTCTGGGTGTTGGGTGGGAAAGGTGCACAATCCTGTATACAGCACCATTGTGTATATGAAAAATCCAAGGGCAGAATCCAGGTAGGGGCAACTTATGTGTCTATACATGCAAAGAATATTCTAGAAATTTTGGACTTATCATTTTCTCCTCAAAGTCAGACATTATATACAGTAGTTTCCCTCTCAGAATCACTTTTTTTTGTTTGATAAACAGTGTTAGGATTGGCTGCTCTTCTCATCCCTAACAGGGCACTACTCTTTTTGGTAGCTGGATGATTGGCACACACATGCCCCAGAGGCCATGGGAAACTAGGTACCAGGAAGTCTGAGCTTGTTTCTGATCCTGGAGATTTCCAGACAAAAGAAGCCATGCCCCACATCCTGGTTCTCAGAACTACCAAGGACTCAGGGTACAGATGGTGAAAATAATTCAAACTTTTTTCACTTGAACTAATTAAAAAAAATATCCCAACACAGTGCACATAAGCAATGACACACCCATAGTTCCCTGTCACACTTGGCTCTACCAAGCTGTGTTTCAACATTTGTCCCACAGATTTCCAAAATGGTTTGTTTCCTAATATTTTATTTCTGGGTCTGAGCTGCAGAACTCCCCTGGAACAAGTAGACTCTCGTGAGTGGTGTGATGACTAGTCTTGATTGTCAACTTGACTACATCTGGAATTAAATTAAAACCCAAATGTGGGGCACACCTGTGAGGGGATATTTGCTTAATTTGAAGTGGAAAGACCCCCCTCCTATGCCAGATCCTTGAGATGGGAAGACATGACTTTAATACAGATCTTTTGGGGAGGGAAGCCCTGACTCATATCTAGGCCACACCTTCTGCTGGAAGCCTATATAAAGACATGGAAGAGGATGCTTTTGATCTTTGCCTGCTTGCTTTTCCCTAACTAACAAATCCACTCCTTCACTTGCATTAGAGCTTCCTTCATCAGGATTCCAGCAGATACTGACGACCAGCTGAGACATCCAGCCTAGTGGACTGAGCAGCTAATGGAGTCTTCAACCTTCCATTCATGGGCAGACATTGTTGGACTATGAATGTGAATAGTCTAATGAATCTGTGAATCATTCTAATAATCCCCTTTCTATATATATGAAGTGATTTATTCTATGAGTTCTGTTACTCTAGAGAACAATGGCAAATACAGATGGTCACCTCTCCCTACCCACCACTTTAGTCTTAAAGCCACTCTGACCTGTACCTGGTACTGCTGGGAGGTTTCCATGGACTCACTCTGCTTCTGCCTGCTGGATATATAGGATAATATGCCACCTGGGCAGATTACAGTCCTGAGTGGGTGTTGCTGACTGTCCTGCAAATCCCCACTGATGGGGAATGTATTTCTGTGTATGTTTATCTTATTGATTGTTGAATAAAATACTGTTT